TATATATATATATATATATATATATATATATATATATATATATATATATATATATAAATGTAGCAATACCCCACTTTTACTTTGGGGTATTGCTGCATTTTCTAATTTTTTTTTTCAGGAAAAGCACTTTACCTGGCTACATTATTACTAAGAAAAAGAAAAGGTTGCAAAGAGCTGACAGTGATTTCCTTCCAATTGCCTTTTATACTCTTTGATATTTTCAACTTTAGAGTTCTATTGAAATTTTCTGTGAGAAAAACTAGCTAAATATATCTTATTAATGGAAATAAGATTTGTGGAAAGCAAAGCCAGATGGGATATAGTGACAAAATTGCAGGGTGTTAGTCTGATGTTACGTCATCCTCTACAGCCTAGAGGAAGTCAGTCCCTGGAAACAAAGGCTGCAGGTTGGAAACAGGAATAAAATGTCTAAAGTGCAACATTGCATCAGCTGACATGATTGTTTTAGGCTGTTGCAAAGTTTCCAAAACTTAACTCTGTCAATTGCACAATTAGAGGTTTATGAGAAGAGTGTGAACTTTTAAATGAATGTTTGCTTGTAAGGTTAATATGTAAAACCTGTGGAAGACAAGGCTTTAATTATGGTCTGGCAAGAACAACCTGTCACAAAAAGGTCAAGGAAATTTCCACAAAATTACAGAATATGTTCCGATGTTTCTCTTTTTTTTCTTATATGCAGCATTTATCAGCAAACTACCATCATTTGTGACATGTTGCAATCTTTTGTCATTCAGTATTGTATGGAGAGGAAAGCAGAAGCTTAGCTGAATATTTCAAAATATAGTCAATTCAGCTTCTTCCAACTGGTCAGGGATGTTATATGGAAATGTGGGGGGCATAAATCAGAAAAGTCTTATTCAAAATTCAATATTCAATTAAGTCCCATTGTTTATATAATTCTAAGTCATTTTTTGAATAAAGCAAACCAGTTTGTATAATAAATCTACTTAAGAATGAAATGTATTTCCATACTTGGTAAAGCAGTTGATCTGATTTATTATTTACTTACTTACCATAGTGGAGACCTTTGGAAAAAAAAGTTTAGTTCAAGCTAAATCTATGTGTGCTCCTTTTTGCACAGAAGAGATAAATTAATAGTAAACACATCTATTAAACTGAATTGCTTCCTCAGACACTTCCTCTCATGACTGATAACGTAGAGATAATATGTGGACAGGAACAGGAGCAAATTAATAGTGTCATAAATACTAAGAGAGTTTGGTTTAACTTTTAAGTGGAAGGAGACTGTTTTGTACCCTTTCCGCTGGCAACCCTAAATTTAAAAAATTTGCAGAGTTCTTTTCAGAAATGCAGCTGTTAGGGGAGAGTACTTGATAAACAGCATCGTGAAGACTAAAAAAAAGGTTAGAAATCAAGTTTTGAAGACATTCAAAGCAGGAAAACATAATGATAAGCTTTGGATATCACCCTGAAATGGAACGGCTAAGTCGTGAATCTATTCAGAGACAGTGGTAGGGAGAGAACAGTGAATGGAGAAATGGCTTGAAGGACTCTGGCACCTCTGGAGGAGCAGAGACAAGGAGGCAAAGATGAGTTCTTGCGGATTTAATGAGATGTAGATGGCAACAGAAACACAAATCCAGGAACAATAAACAAGAAACCAAAACCAGGAGACACCAGGGAGAAAGACACTGGAGGATCGAAGCAATGAAGAGAAACCAGCACTAAGGAACTACAATGGAGGTCTATTTATGGGAGGCCGAACAAAGACTGGGCTAATCAGCCGATATGGAGCAGGTGTGGATAGAAGAGACTAGAAGAAAGGGAAAAGGAGACTGGCACAACGGGGCAGCAGAGAGCAACACAGAAAACACAACACTGCTTAGATCTAACTAGAGAACAACAAAAATGGCTGTGTCCGAATGTCCACCCTAACCTCTAGATCCCTTAATCACTTTAAACAGTTGGGAGTATATAGTGGGCTTTATAGTTAACTCAGTTTACTGACTGTTCAAGCGGATGATCTCTTTATTATTCGTTGGCATTGTTGGATAGTGACAGCGGGCCGCTGTGACAACAAATCCCATAATTCTTTGCTAGGAGAGATCTCCTTTCAAAGCATTCTAGGATATATCTGCTCGTCTATTGCCCATGGATCAGAGAATCAGAATCAGAAATACTTTAATAATGCCAGAGGGAAATTACTTTTGTTACACGCTCCAGATACAGTTTCATATACTGTATATATATATATATATATATATATATATATATATATATATATATATATAGACAACAAACCACACAAGATAATAAAGATATAAATATATACACATATAAATCTCACTACTTTTCAAGGTGTATTGTGGGAAATTTTGAATCAATTATTTTTTCCTCCACTTGACATGTAAACACTCATATAAAATGGCTTAACCACTATATAGTGCCCTATTTAGTGATTAGGGCAGACATTTGGCCACAGCCAATGACACAAAATGGAGAAGAAACCAATTACCGAGAAAACAGAATGAAATAAATCAAAGTGTAATTGAAAACTAGAAAAAGAAACCTAAACAGAACCAAAAAGTCCACAAATAGCAGAATCATGAATTGAGATGATGGGGGAAAAAATAGCTGGAGCTTAATAAAGGCCTATCCTGGTGGTAGAAAAACAGTCAGTGGCTGCAAAAGACTGGAGGGGAGTTTGACCTACAAATACAGACTGATCGGTAATAGAATTGTTTAAAGCAGGCATCCCCAACCTCAGTCCTGGAGGCCCGCTGTCCTGCAGGTTTTAGAGGTTTCCCTGCCTTAGCACAGCTGATTATAAAGATTGCAGAAGACCAAAAGCCTGTTAATCAGCTTTCAATTAAAATCAGCTGTGCTGAAGCAGGGAAACCTCTAAAACCTGCAGGACAGTGGGCCTTGAGGACCGAGGTTGGGGATGCCTGGTTTAAAGCATATTCATGTGTTATTTAAGTCCATGGTAATAGAAAATAAGTGAGATTCACACATAGTTTCCAGGCAACTAGACTGTTATTATGCTATTTGGCAAAGAAGAGTGATTCAGATAGTTTTTAGGGTGTTTGCTTTTACTCACAGCATTTTTCCTAAGCCATCAGAAATAATCTGAATAAAAGAAAAGTGTCTCCCATTGCAAAATTTGAAAATTCCATCCAGTGAAATTTGAAGATAACATCCTTGTGGTTAAATATGCTGCTGTAGATTCTAACGCATAAAAATAAACACTGGTCAGCCCTGAATAAATCTCTAAGACTGACCCTTGTCATTCAATGAGGGCATTAGATCTGTTGAGGTGACATACAGCAGACTGCCACAATTAAAAATATTTCCTTTGATCAGTTTCACAACTTCCACTGCAGTTGTGTAGAAATCGTTGACACACTTTTGTCTGGAAATAAATAACCATTTCTGAAAATGACACGCCCAACAGGGCGTCCAAGGACCAGAGGTCCTAAAGTCACTGTTAGTAAATGTTTTCCATTGTTAATAAGTACCACGGTAGTATTCCACAGGGATCTCACCTAAATCATTAAGATTTGTTTACTCATTATATCTGATCAAAACTAAACAGTTCTGTTAAGTAAAAAAATTATGTCTGCACGATTATGTTTTATCACCTAACTAATCCTAATTTAAAGGAACAAACTTACCAACAATTTTGTTTAAGGTGTGATGTGTTAAAGGCAGAAATGAAAAAATTTGATGGCTAAACATTACATCAAAGAAAATATAGGTTTATGCTTTATTTCTGTTTTTAATTTTTGCTGTTTGCTTTAAAAAAATCAATGGTCAAACATGCTTTCTAAAACTAATATTATTAACATTTTCTTTTACAGGTCAATCTTTGACAAAAAATAATTAATATTGCTTTGCATTTCCAAAAAAACGACAGGTTTGTAATTTTAAAAATCTGACAGATAAATTAAAGGAACCAGAGGCAGAATGAGAAAATGAAAGTCACGAGTGACTCGACTGGTGATGTGGGTAACTGCAGCCACCAGCCAAACGGGAACGCACGCTTCTTAGAGAAGCTGTATTCACTGCACTGCACTGGTTACGCTGTAACAATGTTTACAGATTCACCTTTTAGTGGGATATAAGTAGATGGTTGTTTGCTAAATGCAGAATATTCCTATCCCTGACAGTGTTTGAAATAACCATTTCTTCTTCTACTACTACTACAGCCATGATTTCCTGTATCAAAGCTAGACGTGTTGCTTATCAATTGACATCACATCCGTAGAACTCCACGAGACATTTGGCCTGAATTGCAGTGTATTATGCAGAACAAAGTCTATTCAAGGCAATGGAGAGATGCGTTAGTTTTGTTTTTTAACTCCTCATCATCAATTAGCATTAAAACACTGTACATGCATTTGTATTCTTTCACAGTTGCTGCTCATAGTTCCTTTAAAATTGAAAAAATATTGCGAGTGCCGGGATAGAAAAATAAAAACAACAAAAGACAAATGTATTCAAAAAGAGTACTGTAAATCAAGTAAAATGTATATTTTTTATGGACACTGGTTAGTGCCATGATATACTTACACTTAGACAAACTTTATTCTGATTTTGTATACACAAAATGTATACAAAATGAGAATACAGCTTACAACAGTGAAATGAACTTTACCAATATAAAGTGCAGCAGTGATCAGAATATAAACACAGTAGAAGAAAAGGAGACTAGTTTAAAATTAATGGTGCAAAAGGACATTAACATGGAAAGGTTCAGTGCAGTGCAAAATGAATATGGTGCAAAATGCAATAGAAGTTGTGTCCTATTTAAAAGGATTATAAACGTTTCAGCCACGTTGGTAGTGCAAAAATTATGTTGCAAGTGTGATTCATAGTCATATTTAGAGTTGAACAGCTTAACAGTCAGATGGCAGTGGGGAAGAAGCTGTTGCAGAACCTGCTGGTCCTGCAGCAGATGCTGCCAAGCCTCTTCCAAGGGAGAACAGTCTATGGTGGAGGTGTGAGGGGTCACTGATGATGCTGATACAGTTAATAAGTAGGTTATGAAACAGTTACTGAAACATTGATTTATTCAAACTTGAAATAAATGCAGAGTTCATTTGATGTAATTATTACACGATTTCATCAATTATTTAATGTTCCTGTACATTTAAATAACTATTTCATGGGCGTGCAGGTGGCGCAGTGGTTAGTGCGCACGACCCATATACCGAGGCCTTAGTCCTCAAGGCGGCTTACCGGTTTTGAATCTGACCTGTGTTTCTTTGCTGCATATCTCTCCCCCTCTCTCATACCCCCTTTCCTGTCAACCTACTGTCAGAAAAATTAGCCACTAGTGCTGTAAAAACCCCAAAAGAAAAATGAATTAATAAAACATTATTTCATGAGTCAATTATTCTTTTATTGTGGCATCCATCATCCTCCAGGATTTTCCAGTTATGTATATCTTGGTATGATAAAATGTATAATAAAATGTAATTAATCCCAGCTAAAGTATTACATTTTTTCCATAAATGCTGAACCTTCATAGCTCAGCAGGTCTTTGTACTGTACCTCTCCCCATCTCAGTGTGGAGAAAGTACAGACTTTTTATTAAACAAATTAACTTTCTGGTTTTGGCATTTACACCAAAGAAACTGTCCTGTTTGATATAGGGCTTTAATTTAAACTTGAACTTTGTCCGTTTTTTTTCTCTGTTGTTCATTTCAGCTGAAAAACAAGTTCATGAAGAAGTTGCCGAGAGACGCGGAGGCCTCCAACGTGCTGGTGGGAGAGGTGGATTTTCTGGATGCCCCCTTTGTGGCATTTGTTCGTCTGCAGCAGGCGGTGATGCTGGGAGCATTGACTGAAGTCCCTGTTCCTACAAGGTTGCTAACATGCAAAGCTAAAAATGACCTGAAACATGCATCAGTGCAGAATGAGCATTCTTTCTGAAAACAACTCCACAACAAGCATTTTATAAGAAAGAAATTAGGCAAATTTGTAAACACCTTTTTACATTTTACACACAATTTATGTTTTTCTTTGAAATAACAACTGATTACTGTACTTTCTTCTTTATCCTGTTTTGCTTCACTATACAGGTTTTTGTTCATCTTGCTTGGACCCAAAGGCAAAGCGAAGTCATATCATGAGATTGGCAGAGCAATCGCTACACTGATGTCCGATGAGGTTAGATTGTGTTGTACAATCACTGAAATAATACTTCATACAGTACTTGGTACTTTTGTGAAATACAGAAAAACTCATTGCAAAAGCTAAATGAGTAAAGTAAATATGTAATTTCAATGCTCTAAATATTGAAAAATTTATTTGACTGAATTATCCATAAATTCAGGAGCTGTTATAAATTACTTAAAGCAAGTGACTGGTTAGGACTGTAGGCAGTAATAATCATCTGGACACAGTATTTGCAGAGCTGCACTTTTCTAATGGCTGCAGAGTGGAATAGATTTTTTTTCAGAGTTTGCCAAAAATATTTCTCCAAAAGGACAAATTCTAACCACCTGTTTAACAGGTTTATATATATATATATATATATATATATATATATATATATATATATATATATATATATATATAAATAGATAAATTTCTAAGGGATTAATATTAAACAAAGTAAATATAACCAAATCGTAATTT